CATATTGTACCAAAATTTCCCTTCTAATTCCATAGACTCTTTTCTTATGTGAACTCTAAAGACTTGGACAATTCAGTTATTTAACAAAAACATTCATTCAGCACTGGTGGGTGCAGTGGGCTCCTTTCCCTGGGGTAAAGGGTTGAGATGTGAAAGGATAGTTTCTTTAGTCATTGGTTTTATTTTTTATCCATCTTACCTTAAATGGTTAAAGATGATACAGAGTTTTTCTCTCATATTAGGATAGATTACTGACTGGATGGAATTAGACAAAGTTTTTCTAAGGGTTTTCAATGTCTCTTTCCCCTCAGGTCCTCCAGGGTTAGCAGTTACTTGCAAATGTCATTCTTCCTGACTGGGAAAGTCTTCATTTCATCTTTATCCAGAAATACTGGTGCATTGTGTCCAGTTCTGGATGCCCCAGAATAAGAGGGACTTTGGTCTACTGGAGCATGTCCAGAGGAGGGAAGTCAGAATAGTGACCCCGTGTGAAGACCGTTAGAAAGAACTGGGGATGCTCAGCCTTGAGAAGAGTCAGAGGGAGGGTGCTGGGTGAGGGAGATGGGATAGCTGTCTTCAGGGATTTGGTGGATCGTCATGTAGAGAAAGGCTTCTGCTTGGGCCCAGGGCCAGGACTTGGAACAGGAGATTGAAGCTTAATTTAAGCTTCTTGAGGGCAGGGACTATTTTGCTTTTGCTTTGGATCTCCATCAGTTAACATAGTGCCTGGCACATAGTAGGAGCGTAATGCTTGTTGATTGATTAGATGATGATTGAGGTAGGCTCCAGCATATTTCCAAAGATAAACAATATGATCAAAGAAGCATGACCAGAAAACGATGTTGTTGGGACATGTGGCCCACGTGTGTGAAGGATAGGTCCTTGAATTCACCAGGGGACTCATCAAATGTCAAAAGACCTTGAGGGAAGCCATCACTGTTTTGGGTAGATCCTCTTTGAGAGATCCATGAGAGAACTTGGGCCAGATCTACTTAAAAAGAGAAGGGGCACGAGCTTGTAATCTATGTTGTTGGAAGTCATACCAACATCTGTTATGTGCCTACTATGTGCCAGGCATTGTGCTAAGTGCTGGAGACACAATAATAAAAAAGAAAGACAGTCCTTGTACTCAAGGAGCTTATGAAAAGGAACCTGAAATGGGGGTGTGGTGGTGCCAGAAGGTCCCACCAGGAGGCGTGATGGTAATAGTGGCCAATGAAGAGAGGCTGGGATTACACCTTCTAATCAGAGAGGTGAAGGTAACTGAGGTCATTGATGAGGTGTGAAGCAGTCTCCTCCTGATGAGCTTATGGGGGGGTTAATTCAGATTGAACTTGCAGTCCACTGAAACCCCCAGATCTTTCTTTTTTTTTATTAATTTATTTTGATTGATCAATAATCACTTCCTTATTCTTTTAGGTTTAAAATTTTTCTCCCCCTTCCTCCCCATCACCTTCCCCAAGACAGCACACAGTCTGATATAGGCTATACATTTACATTCATATTAAACATATTTTGACATTAGTGATGTTGTAAGTAAAAATTAAATCCAATAGGAGGAACCATCAGAAAGAGGAAACAAAACTCAACAGAAGAGAAAAAAAATAGCAATTCAAATTCCATAGTTCTGTCTCTGGATGTGGATAGCATTTTCCATCACAAATCCTCTGGAGATGTCTTAGGTCCTTGTATTGCCAGGAAAGGTTAAGTTTATCAATATTAGTCATCACACAACATGGCTGTTATTGTGTACAACGTTCTCTTGGTTCTGCTCACTTCACTCAGCATCAGACCATATAGGTCTTTCTAGGTTTTTCTGAAGTCAGCCTGTTCATCATTTCTTACAGCACAATATTTCCATCACATTCATATACTGCAACTTGCTCAGCCATTCCCTGATTGATGGGCATCCTCTCAATTTCCAATTCTTTGCCACCACAAAAAGAGCTGCTATGAATATTTTTGTACATGTGGGTCCTTTTCCCATTTGTATGATCTCTTTGGGATATAGCCCTAGAAGTGCTATTGCTGGGTCAAAGGGTATGCATATTTTTATAGTCCTTTGGGCATAGTTCCAAATTGCTCTCCAAAATTTTGGGATCATTTCACAACTCCACCAACAATGCATTAGTGTTCCAATTTTCCTGCATCTTCTCCAGCATTCATCATTTTCCTTTTTTGTCATGTTGCAATCTGATAGGTGTGATGTGGTACCTCAAGAGTTGTTTTGATTTGCATTTCTCTAATCAGTAGTGATTTAGAGCATTTTTTCATATGACTATAGATGGCTTTAATTTCTTCATCTGAAAACTGTCTGTTCATATCCTTTGACCATTTATCAATTGGGCAATGGCTTGTATTCTTATAAATTTGACTTACTCCTCTATATATTTTAGAAATGAGGCCCTTATCAGAGAGACTGGTTAGATCTTTCTTTTTTTAAACAACCAATCTGTAACCATGCCTCCACCATTTTGTACTTGTGACACTGATTATGTACCCAAGTGTAAATCTTCCTATTTAGTCCTGCTGACTTTCGTCTTCTTAGATTCAGCCCAGGTTTCCAGCCTGAGCCTCTGGGCTGCACAAGACTCACCCCACTGCTGAGTGTGGCCTGAACCAGATTAAATGTAGTTCCTATCCGATTTGTACCAGTAAGAAAAGAAACATATAAACATGTGTGGCTTTCTAGGTCATGGTGTACCCAGGGGGATCCTTGCGTACCGCTGAGTGGTCTGTGTTTCTTTTTGGGTTTGACATCACTGCTCTAGGCGTGTGAGACCCTTTCAGATCCTGATGTTGTCACCGAACGTGTTAGCTGTCCCTCCTAGCTTAGTGCTGTCTGAAAATGTGGTGGGCATCTCATCTCTGCCTTTATCCAGCCATTGATAAAAATGTTAAACAGCCCAGGGCCAGACGAATCCACGGTACTGAACTGGGCCTTCCTGTCACTTCCTGGCCATTTCTGGACCTTCTCTTTCCCTTTTCCCTCTCACTCCCATTAGAGTGGAAGCTGTTTGAGGACAGGGACTGTCTTATCTCCAGCATGTAGCACTTAGCCTGACACATAGTGATTGCTTAATAAATGCTTTTACCATTCATTCATACATGTTAATCATTCATTTATTTGTTTGCTGTGTTGACATTTAGACATCAATGGTTCTTTGTGTCTGACCCTCCAAGCAGATCGCAATCCATCTGATTGTATTATTGTCTAATCAATCTCGCTCCATCTTTCCCAGAAGAATGGCATGAGATACATTATCAGAAGATTTGTAGAAATCTATGTGAACTACAGCTACACTGTTCTCTTCATCTACTAGTTTAGTAAACTTGTAAAAAAGTGATTTTTTTTTTCCTATTCTAGCATGATCTGTTTCTGATGAAGTCATGGTGGCCTTTTGTAGTTACTATTTCTCTTTCTTGATGTTCACCACTCATCTCTTTAAGGATTCATTTCCAGAATTCTCCAGAATAGATTCTAGGCCAGGAGTTCTCAACTTCCTTCAAAATTTTTTTCAAATGGGCCCCTTTTTTTGGTCCATTTGGTGAAGCTTATGGACCCTTTCTTAGAGTAATGTTTTTGAATGCATTAAAAATAGAGAATTACAAAGGAAACCAGCTATTCTGAAGTGAGATTTTAAAGATATATGTGTATATATGTGTATATATAACATATATACATATATACGCATACATGCATACACACACACGTGTGTGTGTGTGTGTGTGTGTGTGTATGTATATGTATATATCCTAGGCCCCCAGGTGAAGATTCAGTTCTAGAATATTGGCCCCATATAGGAGTCAGGAGAGTGAGATTGAAACTATGCCGCAGCCACGGCAGACAGCCTTGAGCTGAAGACACTGGAGTTATTTATCCTGCATGAGGGAAATCTAAAGGCCGGGGTGGGTGAATGCAGTCTCGGTTTTCAGATGCTTGCAAAGTGGCTGTGTGGGAGGTGCAATTCTGCTTTTTCTGCTTGGTATCTGAGAGCCGAAATGGATCAATTGGTGGAAATTTGTGGGAGGCAGACTTCAGTTCTACATAATTAAGAGTTTTGTAATGATTGGAGCTATCTGAAAATGGAGTGATCTGGAAGCAGGGTTTGTGACTCAAGTTGGGGGTAGAGTCTTTGAGTTCTGAGGTCCCTTTGAATATTATGATTCTCTGAATTAGGTGGAAAAGGAGAACTGTGAGTTCAGACTGTAAATTAAATTATTTTCTCATCCTTTAAAATTCATTGATAAAGTTACACAAAATAGAATGTGCAAGATATCAAATAGAAGGAAACATAAAAATACATTTGCTAGAAGCAGGACAGCATGACCAGAGCCATGAACCAAGAGTCTGTTGTCAAACGGAACCATTTGTTTGTTTTCCCCCTGAGAAATATCTTGATGGTTTTCCTTCCTCTCACCACACAACGTGAGCATTAGTGCTGAAAAGTCAGTTTGCTTTTTACCCCATACAAGTTGGTGTGGTTTGGTGTTAAAATGATTTTAAAGTTTTATTTTCTGAATTAACCTCACACCTTGACAGCTAATATGTTTGATTCAATTCCTGCAATTATGGGTTTCCAGCATTTGTTAGTTCATTCGTTCCAGCAACATCTGTCAGAGCCTCTTTTGTGCAGAACACAGCAGCAGACGGAGGGGTGGGGAGGGTCACGGTAAAGAGGGTCACCTGGAGCTTCTTACACTCTAGCGACTGAAGAAAACACCGACACCTGAGGCTGTAATAATTCTTTGTTTCAAATTGAATTTTAAAATTTGAGTTGCTCTAATTAAGAATTTCAGTGTACATTTCAGGACCTTACCTAGGAGAGACCAAACACTTTAATCTTAATAGAAGTCTTCTGTTATAAGATATTTAATCAGTGAAAGCTTTGGTTTCCTTTAGGCTTTCGTGGCAGTCCATCTGCTTCGTTCTTGGGTACATCACTGAATACTTTTGAACTACACATTAACTGGAATCAGTGTTTCTTATTACATTTCAGAGACATATTATTACATAGCTCCTTTAGTCGGTGCCTTTTTCTTGGCTCTGACTCCCATATGGATTGTGATTGCTGCCAGACACCCGGCTACACGGACTGTTCTCCATTCGGGCTGGGAGCCCGTCATCACGGCGATGGTCATAAGCAGGTGAGCGCTAGGTCTCGGACCACGTGGGCCTGTGGGTAAAGTGGCTAGGAGAGTAGAAAGGTCGTTACCTGGTTTGGCATTTAGAGCGTTCTCCAGTGCTGAACAGGGGCGGGTTGAAATATGGGAATGGAAAAATCCCCACTTTTTCAGGGAAGGCTTTACTGACAAGGGAGTGTTTTGGTTTGCCTTTAGAGGACACATTCAATAGGCAAAGGAGAAAGGGGGCTTATGTTGACTCATTTTTTTCTTCTAAAAAATAGATTTGTATTTTTTATTTTGAAGGTTGGGGGAGAATGTTAAAAAAAAAGTACAAAGACAGTTTGATGTAGAAGATCGGAAGGTCGAGAGCTGGTCTCAGAGTTGGGAAGAACTGGGTTTCAGTCCCACCTCTGACACTGCCTGGTTGTATGACCCTACGTAAGTCATTTACTTCTTAGTGCTTTTGGCAACCCTCTAACACCAGAAGTTGCAGAGAGGTTGCCGACGTGCATTAGGAGATGGAGTTTCCTTCCCTGGGAGTTCACTCTGCCAGTGACATCACAAATCCCGGCCCTATCTTGAGCCTGTTTTTGTCCAGGTCTGTGACTTCATTGGGATGGGGGCCTCTGGGTGCAGAACTTGCTACCTCTTCCAAGAGGCATCTTCTGTACAGGCCATGATCGTAGGGTGGTGGAAGTGCTGGGTCTAGGCCTCCCAGCTTGTATCGCTCAGGGCAGCCCTGGAACCTGGCTGGCTGGTCTTGCTGGCTCCTGTTCAGGCTCTTGATCCCTCACACCCTATGCCTCCTTGAATTCTGTTTTTACACTTTACCTAGTGCCTCTCTTCGCAGAAATGCTAGATATATCTGGAGTGTTCATCATCCAAGACAGTGTAAGAGCTAATAGCTTACACTGGCATAGACCTGTGAAGTTTGAGAAGTGCTTTACATAAGTGATTCCACTGGAGCCTCCCAGCCTGACATAGCCACTGTGGATTTTATGATCTGCATCTTACAGATAAGGATACTGAGGGTTAGAAAAGTTCCATGATTTGCCCATAGTAGGAGGGAAAAAGAGTAGTTCGGTGTTAGTGGTGAGGGGCCGGGTCTTCTTGACCCCAAGTCCAGCCCTGCTCCATGCTGTGTCTCATGGAGAATCAGTGCTGAGAGTCAGAGTGGGATCTGAGGCCAGGCTGGGACTCTGGCCATCCGCCCACTTTGTGGTAGCACCTTGCTCTTATCTCGGTACATTGTTGGATCTCTGCTCAGTAGAGGTGACCTTTGCAACCTCAGACAGCCCCCAGATTCTGCTAGAGGCTCTCGTGTGTCAGTAGAGGCCGTTAGGAAGGTTTCCTGCCGGACCGCTCACCTCTGCAGGGCCTTTTGGTGGAGTAAATGGCAGAGGCAAACCTTCCTCTGTCGGTGTTTGGGCACGTGCTCGCTTGGCTGGCTAAAGTCTGTTTCCACTTAGTAAGCTCACGCCTTTCAAAGGAAACAGGAAGGCTCTTAAGTGGCCGCTCTCGAGCCCGATAGGTGGGCTTGTGGTCTTTGTCATGCTTCTTTTGATCTGACTTTATATTTTCTTCTGACTTTTAACATTTTATAAAGAGGCAGGGGTTTCTGCATAAAGATAGCAAGTTTTAGCTGGTGCCTTTTTTTCTTCTAAATGTTCCTGTTTTATGTTTCAGCATTGGAGGCCTTATTCTAGACACGACAGTATCGGATCCAAATTTGGTTGGAATCGTTGTGTACACTCCAGTTATTAACGGTAAGTGCTAAATAAGATTGCTGGTGAATCGTGGTGGAATCATTCAACAAGTAATTGTCTAATTAACTTTGAGATCTACATTGTGAGAGCTTTTTCTTTTTCTAGGCTGTTGTTCCCAGGTTTTGACCTTGGCTTCATTGGTCTCAAGATCTACCCTCATCATGTTACTAGAAGTATGAGCTTGTGAGACATGCAGACATGGTGTTTGAGGGAAGGAGGTGAAGGAGGCAAATGCATTGTGGTGTAAAGAGTGTTCCATTTCAAGTTAGCAGACCTGAGTTCAGAAGCTGCCTCCAGTACTTGTAATGTGGCCAGCCACTTAGCTCCCTTGAGCCGTCAGTAAAAATGAGATGTTGGAAAGGGTTGAGGTGAGTGGGTCCTTGAGGATCAGCCCCCATCCAGAGCCTGACCAGAACCGCAAAAAGGGTCCCTTGTACTCAGAACCAGAGGAGGAGATTAACCAAGAATTAGAACAGCCAGGCCTCCCTATGAAGCCGGCCTCTGCCTAGGGGCGTGGGCAGGGATGGTGCCGCCGGGTGATGGCCGCCATGGAGCAAGGATAGACAGCTGCAGTGGGAGGTCTGGGGACACGGGGCAGAGATGCGTTTGTGCGCCGGGGCGGGGGGAGCAGCAGGAGGTGCTGCTCACAGGAGAGGGGCGGAATCGGGCTCTTCTGTGAGGATGAGCCAGCCCTCATGACTTTGTTGGAGCTCTGCAGAGCCAAGAAATGCTTGAAGGGGGGCAGATATCTTTGCCACTGTGTTATCCCTGAACCTGAGGTGTTCCTATGGGAACCCGCCCTGGAACTAACATAGGGATAGTAGTATACACAAAACAGGTAGATGTGCGCTGGCCAGCGCGCTGCCCACTGTCAGGGACGTTGGCCAGTACAGAGGGACTCCCTCTGGATGGCAGTGGTATTGTGCTCATTGCATCACATCTCAGAACACTGCAGGACCTCATAACCCAAAAGATACAGGTGTGATAATCCACAATGGAAAAACCAAGTGGATGAAGAAAATCTGTTGTTCAAAATGTGGCATGCAGTTGGAAAGGCCAGCTATCGAACTAATCCAACTGGGCATTTTCACTGCTGTCCCCCATGACTGGGGCTCTCTACTGTCTCTCCTTCACTTCCTGACTCCTGACTTCCTTTGGTTTCAGCTCAATTCCACCTTCTGCAGGAAGCTTTTCTCATTCTCCCTTAATATGAGTGCCTTCCCTTTATGATTATCTCCAGTCATCTTGTGTATATTTTGTTTGTACGTAATTATTTGTGCTTACGATTATCTCAGGCCATTCCCTGACATAAAACTCATCTTTTTAATATGAATGTTCTCCCAAAGACACTACATTGTGATAATCGCAGAATAACACAATCCCTGAAGAATCGAAATTGCAAGTGACCCTAGAGTGGTGGAAAGTGATCCATAGTGGGCAGAAGTTGGCTGCTGCTCTTTGCTGTTGATGACTAGCACACAAGCGGTGTGAGAAATATGCCAGCAGGACAAGGATCTGTATGCAGACCCCCTCCCCTGCAGAGACTGTGGCCCTTCCATAACTTAGTGGATGAGTCTTGGACAGTTGTCTTAACCTTGGACGGGTGAAGTCACTTGCCTACGTTCACAACACTCGTAAGCATCAGAAATCGAATGTGAGCACAGGACGTCTTGACTCTGATGCCAGCCCTTTAACTCCTGCATGATTTTGCCTCTCTGAAAGATGGCATCCAGGAGCAGAAGAGAAGGGGGCCACAGTCTGGAGAGAATGAAGGCTCATAGCAGGCAGAGTGAGACCTACCAGATGCCCTGTGCCATGTTGAAGATTTGTAGGATGCCAGGAGCAAGAAACAGCACGGAGGAAAAGCCTTCTGTGGACTGCTGTCCGTAGCATTTCAAGGCGTCCCCAGCACAGATGTCACAGTCCACTGAAGTGTGATATTCCTTGTGGGTGTGAGCACCGAGCTTTGTGTACCTTAACCACCAGTCCCTAGTTACTATTTTGTAAATAGAAGGGACATGGTCTCAGTTCTGGATTATTTTGGTGAATTTTAGGCCTAACCTCACACTGGCTTTCCTCTGCCACCGTGTAATCTTCCACGTTGTTCTGTTATCTGCCTGCCTATTCCTGGAGGAAATTGTCTAATAACGTGAGCACACCCCCCCCCATTTAAAAGTGAGCCCTTCCTCCTCTAGTTTCTCACTTTTTCTGGACCTCTCATTTATACTTATTGCATATAGTAGATACTTAACTAATATTGATTAATTAACTAATCTAATTCTGACTTTAAAAAAATTTATATCACCTATTTATCCCTTCTTCACTCCTCTTATAATAAAAAAAATAAAAAAGAGGGAAAACAACAGCTCAGTAATCAACACATCAGTCAGATCAGTGGCTGTCCATTTCCTGCCTCCCTTGGAGAAGAAGACAGGGGCACGTTTTCATGTGGCTCCAAGCTCAGCTATTTTAACTCTGCAGAATTCAGTTTTATTTGTCCCCTCATTCTTTCCATTTACCTGGTTGTAGTCTTTGTGTAAATTGTTTTCCTGGTTCTACTTTCTTTATTTTGCGCCAGTTTATATGTCTTTCCATGCTTCTCTGTATTCCCCATATTCATTGTTCCCTATAGCACAGCAGTTTTCCATCACATTCATTATTAATTTATTCTTTATTAATTTATTTATTTTTAGTTTTCAGCATTCACTTCCACAAGATTTTAAATTTTCTCCCCATCTCGTCCCTCCCCCCATCCCAAGATGGCATACATTCTGAATACCCCTTCCCCCAATCTGCCTTCTCTTCTATCTCCCCCCCTTCTCTTATCCCCTCCCCCTTCTATTTTCCTGTAGGGCAGGATAGATTTCTACACCCCACTGCCTGTATGTCTTATTTCCCAGTTGCATGTGAAAACAATTTTTAACATTTGTTTTTAAAACTTTGGGTTCCAAATTTTCTCCCTTCCTCTCTCCCCATCCACCCTCATTGAGAAGGCGAGCAACTCGATACAGGTTATACATGTGTAGTCATGCAAAACACTTCCATAGTAGTCATGTTGTGAAACACTAACTCTATTTCCCTTCATCCTATCCCACCCCCCATTTATTCTATTCTCTTTTGACCCTGTCCCTCCTCAGAAGTGTTCGCTTCTGATTACACCCTCCCCAAGTCTGCTCTCCTCTCTATCATCCCCCTGCTCTCTTATCCCCTTCCTCCCTATTTTCCTGTAGGGTAAGATAGATTTCCATACCCAATTGAGTGTGTATGTTATTCCCTCCTTAAGCCAAATCCGATGAGAATAAGATTCACTCATTCCCTCTCGCCTTCCCCTGTTTCCCCTCCACTGTAGAAGCCTTTTCTTGTCTGTTTTATGTGAGATAATTCACCCCACTCTACCTCTCCCTTTCTCCTTCTCCCAGGATAATCCTCTCTCACCCCTTAATTTTATTCTCCAGATATCACCCCTTCATCTTCAACTCACCATGTACCCTCCATCTATCTGTCTATCTGTCTATCTATCTATCTAGACATATAATTTTTTCCCTCCAACTACCCTCATACTGACAAAGGTCTCATGAGTTACAAATATCATCTTTCCCTGCAGGAATGTAAGCAGTTCAGCCTTAATAAGTCCCTTATGATTCCTCTTTCCTGTTCACCTCTTCATGCTTCTCTTGAGTCTTGTATTTGAAAGTCAAATGTTGTATTCAGCTCTGGTATTTTCAAGAATGCTTGAAAGTGGGGCAGCGAAGTCAGGAGGACCTGAGTTCAAATCTGGCCTCAGACCAAACACTTGACACGTACTAGCTGTGTGACCCTGGGCAAGTCACTTAACCCCAATTGCCTAAAAAAGAAAAAAAAATGTTAAAAAAAAAGAATGCTTGAAAGTTCTCTATTTCACTGTATGTCCATTTTTCCCCTTGAAGCATTATACTCAGTTTTGTTGGGTAGGTGATTCTTGGTTGTAATCCTATCTCCTTTGACCTCTGGAATATTCTATTCTAAGTCCTCTGGTCCCTTAATATAGAAGCTGCTAAATCTTGGGTTATCCTCATTGTGTTTCCACAATACTTGAATTGTTTCTTTCTGGATGCTTGCAATATTTTCTCCTTGACTTTGGAACTCTGGAATTTGGCTGTAATATTCCTAGGAGTTTTCCTTTGGGGATATCTTTCAGGAGGTGATCAGTGGATTCTTTCCATTTCTATTTTACCCTCTGGTTCTAGAATATCAGGGCAGTTTTCCTTGATAATTTCTCTCTCTCTCTTTTTTCTTTTTGGTGAGGTGATCAGGGTTAAGTGACTTGCCCAGGGTCACACAGCTAGTAAGTGTTAAGTGTCTGAGGCTGGATTTGAACTCAGGTCTTCCTGACTCCAAGGCCAGAGCTCTATTCACTATGCCACCTAGCTGCCCCTATTGATAATTTCTTGAAAGATGATGTCTAGGCTCTTTTTTTGATCATCGCTTTCAGATCAATAATTTTTAAATTATCTCTCCTGGATCTATTTTCCAAGTCAGTTGTTTTTCCAATGATATATTTCACATTGTTTTCTATTTTTTCATTCTTTTGATTTTGTTTTACAATGTATTGATTTCTCATAAAGTCGCTAGCTTCCATTTACTCCATTCTAGTTTTTAAAGAAGTATTTTCTTCAGTGAGCTTTTAGACTTCCTTTTCCATCTGGCCAGTTCTGCTTTTTAAGGCATTCTTCTCCTCATTGGCTTTTTGGACCTCTTTTGCCATTTGGGTTAGTCTATTTTTTAAGATGTTATTTTCTTCAGTATTTTTTTGGGTCTTCTTTAGCAAGCTGTTGACTTGTTTTTCATGATTTTCTTGCATCACTCTTATTTCTCTTCTCAGTTTTTCCTCTACTTCTCTTACTTGCTTCTCAAAATCCTTTTTGAGCTCTTCCATGGCCTGGGACTGATTCCTATTTTTCTTGGAGGCTTTGGATAGAGTAGCTTTGACTTTTTTGTCTTCTTCTGGTCTTATGTTTTGA